TGTTGACTGGCTTGGCATCTTTCATGTTGAACCTTTCAATTACCCGTTCAACATATTTCTCCTGTGACAGCCATATCTTCTTGGCTTTCCTGTCACGAACAATCTTCATGCCAAATTTGTTGTGCTTGGGCCTAAATTCTTCATATCAAAGTACTGCGACAAGTCCTTTTTCAACTTGTTGATCATAGTAGTATCCTGTCCAATGATCAGCATATCATCGACATACAATAGTAGGATAATGAAGTTTCCATCCGAAAACCTTCGGAAATATACACACTGGTCTGTCACCGTTCTTGTGTACTCGTGATCCACCATAAATAAATCAAACTTCTTGTACCATTGTCTCGGCGCCTGTTTCAGGCCGTAGGGACTCTTCTTCAGTTTACAGACTAGTTTATGTTTTCCTTTAACTTCAAATCCTTCTAGTTGCTCCATGTAGATCTCTTCCTCCAACTCACCCATGGTAGGAATGGCAACGGGGCGGGGCGGGGCCGGGGACCTACTCCCCATCCCCGATCCCCGATAGTGAGAAATTCCCCATCCCCGGCCCGATCCCCGACGGGGACCCCATCAGCCCCCCCGTCCCAGCCCCCGATCGGGGATCGGGTTTCCCCGACCCCGAAAATCCCCGACCTGTTCATTTTTTATTTTTTTTAACACAAAAACAACAAATAATTTCCAATCTGTTGTATTCAGTAATCTATCATCATCATCATCATTAAAATTTCAAACATTGTATAGATCAACTGATATTGATCTATCATCAATAGATCAAACCATAGATCATCAAATAGATCAAAACAGATCTCTTCAAAACAGATCATTTTCAATCTATTGTATAAACCACATAGATCATCCCTATTGAGACAAGAACAAAACCATCAACAAATCAACTACAACAGATCTCTTTAACAACAACATAGATCATTAACACAGATTTCTTTAACAGATCAACAAATCATTAACCATTTCAACATTAACAGATCAACTACACACAAAACAAAAATAAAATGATAACATAAGACACAGATCAGAGAGGAGGGAGAGAGAGAGAGAGAGAGAGAGAGAGAGAGAGAGAGAAACTAGATCTGGTAAATCTGCACCATGCTCGATTGATCTGTAATCCCTGGAGTTAATCTGCGAACGGCGAAGATCTAGCGAGGGACGATGGCGGATCTCAGTCTCAGATCGGAGGATCGGTCGACGTCGGACAATAGCGTCGGAAGAGATAGTAGAGGGAAGAGAGAGAGAGAGCAGTGGGTTTGTAAGGGAGAAGAGGAAGAGTCGTAGGGAGGGTGGAGATCGGCGGTGGGAGGAGGGAGATCGGCGGTGGGAGATGGAGATCGGCCGACGGTTTTTAAAGAGAAGGAGAGAGAGAGAACAATGAGAGGCAGACAGATGATATGAGTGAGTGAGGCTTCTGTGTGAGTGAAGTAAAGAAGTTGATTTATATATATATATATAGAGGTAAAATGGTAATTTTGCTTCGGGGAAATTCGGGCCGGGGACGGGTCGGAACTAACCATTTCAAGGTGACAAAGTGTTCGTGTCCCACGACTAGCTCTGAAAGGAAAGAAATGGAGGCAATCCCTTATTCTTCCGCAGTAGGAAGTTTGATGTATGCAATGGTGTGTACCCGACCAGATATACCTCACGCAGTTGGTGTTGTGAGCAGATTCCTCGTCAATCCAGGAAATGAGCATTGGGAGGTCGTCAAATGGATTCTTCGGTACTTGAAGGGAACTTCAAAGATGTGTTTATGTTTCGGGGGAGCTAAACCAGTTTTGGAGGGTTTTACAGATGCCGATATGGCTGGTGATCTTGATGGTAGAAAGTCTACATTAGGATTTATGTTCACCTTTGCAGGGGGAGCTATTTCATGGCAGTCCAAATTACAAAAGTGTGTTACTTTATCTACAACAGAGGTAGAGTACATTGCTGCCGTAGATGCTGGAAAGGAAATGTTGTGCTTAAAGCGGTTTCTCCAAGAATTGGGTCTACAGCAAGAAGAGTATAAGGTACATTGTGATAGTCAAAGTGCAATTGATTTGAGCAAGAATTCCATGTACCATTCACGTACAAAACACATTGATGTTCGGTATCATTGGATACGAGAAGTGATGGAAAAGCAGCTGATGAAGCTAGTGAAGATTCACACAGGCAAGAATCCTTCTGACATGATGACCAAGGGTGTCACCAGAGACAAACTGGAAGTTTGCAAGCATCTGACCGGAATGGACTTCAAGTGAGAAGTCAATTGTCCATGTGGGCGTGGCGGGGGAGAATTGTTGGCTCCATCCACTACCCACATGGTAAGGAGCCCACCATCCACATGGTATGGGTGGCACCATGAGGTAAAGGAAGCTAGTGGGGCAATACCAACTCACCAAAGGTAGATGGTGAGGGTGGCACAACCAAGCCCACTCATGGTTGTCACTTCACCTACTCCTCTTTACTCGGTTATAAATTGACATGAGTGAGGAGGGGTTGTAGAGAGATATATGGGAGTGACACACTGAGCTGAGAATACACATAGGGTATAATCTGTGAGTGAGAGTTCTATAGAGAGTTGTGAGGTGTGAGTTCTGTAATCTCCCTCTGGGATAATTCTATAGTGGATATCTCTCCGTAGATGTAGGCAATTGCCGAACCACGTAAATATTCTTGTGTTATTGTGCGGAATTGATTTCTGGCATCCCACAGTCCTAACAAAAACATCACAAAAACAGTAGCTGGTAATCAGTTGATTCCGAATCCTTAAGGCCTCAAGATCGTATGGCAGAAAACTGACTTCTTCTCCCTTGATAATGTATGGTATACCTTTCCCACACCATGATATGAGTTTGCTCTAACTTCTATATTCAAAAAGAGAACCACCTCCAAACTGAAGAATATACTTGCCCAATGGCACCTCACGGTGTTGTAGAAATTTGAGGAATACGTTGAAAGAATGAACATCTTTCAGATAGACATCAATTTCTTCCAGCTTTGTCAACCCTTCCAATTCCTCTGCTGCTCGTATTTGTACAGGTGTACATTCAAGTCTAAGGAGTTGGAGATGGGAGAGTCTGGTAAATGTCCTGCTTGGTATATTCCCCAGTATATGTGTACCATTCATATTCAGATTCTTTAGATTGACCAGCATGTCCACACGTTGAGGTACTCTATTAATTCTTGTAAAACTGAGGTCCAATTCTTCTAACGCTCTAAGCTTTCCCAGCGGAGGCACATATGTGAGTGAAGTACAATGCGCAAGCAACAATGCAGTGAGTTTCACCAAGTCTGATATGGAATTTGGCAACACTCTAATTCCAGAATTGCCGGACAAATCAAGAACCTGAAGGGCATGCATATGCTTGAAGAATGATGCTGCAATACTCTTCAACCTATTGTCTTTCAAAATCAATGTTGAAAGACTAGGACACCCACGGGACCAGCCACATGGAATTTCTTGTATGTTATTCTTCATCAAGGAAACCTTTTCCAGATTTCCAGCACATTCCTGCAGATGTGGAATTTCCTTCAATCCAACACCAGCTTTTACCATGAATCGATTTTCTGTTATCTTTAGTGCCATGTCCCTAATCAAATCATGCATCTTCACATATGCATCCCCATCATCATTGTTACAATGTTCCAATAAGCAGGACCTTTCAAGTTTATTCAAGATAGTGTGACCCTCGTCAAACTGTCTTATCGAACTCTTACTTCTGTCAATCAGTCCCTCAGCAATGAAATATCTTATTAATTCATCTCTTGGTATTTTACAATCTTCAGGATACAAGGCGCAATATAAGAAACAATCCTTCAATTTTGTGCCATTCAAGCGACTATAACTAAGTTTCAATGACGGTAATACATTCTTTTCCATATCTTCATGCCCCATTGTATGTTCCTTCAGTTGTTCAAACACATTCCTCTACTCACGAATGTCGTCTACCCCTCTCATGCTTCCAGCCATGGTAATAATCGCGAGTGGCAAACCATCACATTTGGCTGCCACAAACTTTGCAATCTCTATTACTTCTGGAGAAAGTGTCGTGTCCTCCTCATTACAAAGTTTCGCCCAAAATAAGTTCCCAGCTTCTTCTTCACAAAGTGGTTCCACTTTGAACACTTTGCAACCCATCTTGCGGCATATATTGAATGAGCGAGCAGTGATGATCAACTTACATCAATTAGGAATTCTGACCCTATGTAGATCAATTTTATCCCACACATCATCCAAAAAGAGAACACATTTCCCCCTTCTTGCAAATGAACACACTTCCAAAAAGAGAACACATCATCATTTTTCTATAAGTTTATTATGGATGTTCACAGCCTGGGTTGTTTTGCCGACTCCCCCCATTCCACAAATCCCAATGCGTAATTCTTCAGAGTCATCCATTAAGCATGCCCAAATTTTCTCCAGATTTTGCTGTACTGTTTGGCCTGTTAATTCTGTTGACAACAGAGATTCTCCTTGGGTTGCACACACGTCAAGTAGAAGCTTCCCTTGAAAACTACCTTGCTCACGGAGTTGCGCAATTTCTGCATTCAATTTATCAACCCGATTTCCCAACAAGAGCAAAGAAATTTTCCTTTCTCGTACTTCTTGCTCTAAGTTTTGGACTCCATTTTTCATCCTTTATTCATTTCTCAGCCAATTTTCAACTTCGTGTTTCCGTTTCTTTCCTGTTCGCAATTCTGCATCTTCTACTTCTGTTTTTACGTCAGCTGCTAGGCTGTCCAACGCTTCAAAATTGTTTCTGAGTGTTTGCATCTTTCATCCTGGCCGCCTAATTTCCTCAACAGCTCCATTTCAATAGCACTGCCTGATACCCAAAAACCAGAACTGAGCTTAATTTAGTGAGCAAAAGATTGTGCAAGTAAGTGAGAGGTCCAACTTTTGGTAGAAGAAAAAATTTTAGTGTTTTTTTTTTATAACAATGATGTTGCCCAGAAAATAAAATAAAATAAATGAAGAATAAGCATAATAAAAGAGCAGCAAAGGCTCCTCTTCGTATAGTTTGCAAATGACCGTTCTTTAAAACGTTTATCAACTTTGCTAGAGAAGATGGTCCTATAAATGATGTTTCCACCTCATACTGTGGCTGGTTTAGGAATTAATTATTTTAGATGATTTTTTAATTTTTATAAAAAGATATATAAAAAAGAAAGGAAAAAAAAAGAAAGTAATGTGACAATTTATAATAACTTTTTAGATATAAACTCAAGTCTCCCAACGAGGCCTATATATATCACAAAGGTAAGCAAGTGATGAATCCTCTCATGTTATTGACGTACAAACATTTTTTTTTTCAAATGTAATATGGAACTCAATTTAACAACCTATAACATGCCACATGAGTTTGTAAAAATTGTTAGTTTGAAGTCCGGCCAAGTCTGACTTTAGGTTAAAATTTCATTTTAAGTCCAATTCAAAATAATGGTAAAATCTAAATTTTACCCAACAAACCTATATGTTAAAGGAGAAATTGCACTTTATTGTAACTTTTCAAAAGAAATTGAAAATCAGTGGTGAACTTTTTCAATTTTAATAATTAAAATTATAATTTGTGTATAAATTTATAAACATTTTATGAAAATACCGTTTATTTGCAATTTTTCTATATAAAATAAATATTTTAAAATTAAAAATAATGACTTGCATGGTTGAGTTGGAAAAAAACTTAATCATTATTGGTTCAAACTGAAATAGTGCATTTTCCAGCTTAAAAGCATGCTCTAATTTCTTATATACAAGAATTGAAGCATAAAAAATTAAAATTAGTTATTAAAATGTGAAAAAGCATTTTGGTTTATTTCATGTTTATATCTCAATATAAGAGAATTTAATGGTCTGTGGACGCTATCACAGGTTCCATTTCAATGTCTAAACTGGTAATTTTGTATGTTCTTCAATATATATCATTCATAAAAAAAATAAAAAAAAAAAATAGTTCAATCCAATAATTATAATTTTTTCATTTTATCGTATTGGTTTCTGAAAAAATAGACAATAAATATATTTTTAAAAATAGACCATCAATTTTTTTAAGGACAAATGTGAAAAACTGAATAGATTACAATTTTCGAATCGACTTAATTTTTATTATGAATGATACATATTAAAAATTCTATAAAATGATTCAGATTATTAAAACAATGCTCATGGTGGACCCTGCAAAGTCTTAAATACTATCATGTTAAAACAAACCAGCATACAATATTGCACAATAACATAGACACAGATGGAAAGATATCATTGATCATCTTGTTAAGCATCTTTTAAGAAAGAACCCAAAAATTAAAAGCACGCGGTCCGGCCTAAGCAGAGTAGGCTTAAGCATCCTTTGAAGCGAAAAATCAAACATATGCAAGACAGTCTAAAATAAATAAATAACGAATAAAAAATAAAAAGAAAAAAGAAAATCTCAACTTCAAGAGATGTTTTGGTGGTAGTTTAGTTACCTGATCGAAATCTGAGACACTGCTGAAAGATCAAAACAGATTGCAATGGATGGCTTAGAAGTAAATCTATGAAAAAACCAGACGCACAACAAAAGTTTTTCCTCTTGCAAATCTTTCTCAGAATAGAGAGAAGGGAAACTGGCAACAAATGAAATGCCGAAACCACCTTCCTGGAAGGTGCAGTAAAATCATATAATAAGATAGAGTAGGGTGGTCCGTTCTAAAAAAAAACAGATAGAGTAGGGTGGTGGGTGTTTGGTAACTTGGGTTTGGAATTTTTTTTTTTATTTTTTTCACTAAAAGACAAATTTTTTGTAAAATAAAAAAAAAATACATTTAAACAAAATATCACATCCAATTTCATAATTATTTTATTTTTTCTCTCACAAACATCATATTCAATCATAAAAAAAACTCAACTATCTTTTCAAACACAAAAAAAAATTTCTCTAATAATATCTTACAATTAAAAAAACTTACGGAAAAACCTACTTTTCAAACACTCACTAGGTGAGTAAGTAACCATTCTATACGAGTTGGTAATTGGTATGTACACCAACCATTGGCTATCTTTTCTTTTTTTTTTTCTTTTTTTTTTTGTCATTATGTTTTGGAGGTGATGAGACTTTGGATTATTTTGTAAATCGACAATGTTACGTAACTCAAATTTTGTGGCTCAAAAGTGGCTCAAATGGTCAAAACGACGTCGTTTTGAGTACAGAACAACATAAAAATGGCAAAAACGACGTCGTTTTGGCCATTTGAGCCACTTTTGAGCCACAAAATTTAAGTTACGAGACATTTTCCTTTGTCAATTTGTTTGTCCTTCTTAAAATGTTGTGCTCTCATTGCATCATATTCGTTTTAAGACCAATTTGGACATTTCCGTAATTTACCATGCCCATGATCGTGGATGGGTGGGTGGGTGCACCCTAAAATTTTTAAAAATTATGTATATTATATTAGTAATTAATAATATAATTTTAAACTAGAAAACTATGTATTTTTAAAATTTCAGTAGTTCACACTTTCTAAATTATTTATATTACAAAATTTAAAAAATAATTTCTAAATCAAATTTTAATAAATATTGAACTATTTTATTTGTTATTTGTATTATTTATTATATTTCTATATTGTTTGCCGGAGTGGTTAATTTTATAACTTAAAAAATAGAAATATTAATAAAAATTATAAATAATATAGTATATTATGAATAGTGATTAAAATTAATGAAATTTTAAAAAAATATATAAGATAAAAAAAGAAATTAATGAAAACAATTATTAAATGTAATATTTTGAGTTTTAAGTTTATCATATTAAAAATAAATAAATAATGCATATATTATATATATACAAATATATGTAGTAATTATAAATAGGACGGGTGTGGATTAGAATGGAATGGCGGAAGCAAAACTTGCTCCCGCCCCATTATCTTATTGAGGTGGGAAAAATTCGTGCATAGCGGGCAAGGGATGAGGGAGTGGGGCAGGGCGGGGTACCTTAATTTGCATATGCACCTTACTTTGCATTCATTCTTATTTGTTCATTCTCTAAAAATAAGAATATTATCTAGAAATGAAAATATTGTTTATGTTCAGCATGACATTCTTAAAAATAAGTTCATATTATTGAAACGGATTATCATTCTACTTATAAAAATATACATTTTCAACTATGAAATTTTTTAAAAATAAACAACGTAATAGAATGAAATATAATTTTGTAATAAGTTATTTGATCATATTTATTGAAAAAGATATTATTTAAAGTTTTGATTTCGAACCTATCATAGATGTTTTTATATATATTATAAAAAGTGGCGATTATAACATTTTCAGATAGTTAACTTTAATAGACAAAAACATAAAAATAGTTACTATTTTTATTAAGTTAATGCAAACAAAAAAAAAATGTCCAAATATATTTTTATTCTCAATTATGTTGATAAAGAATGTCTCATTAATAATAATATGGGCAAATTACAAAAAACAACTCCAAGGTTTTTCGTGTTTGTCAATTTAAACCCCAAAGTTTCAATTTTGACAAATTAAACTCTGAAATTTCTTCCGTGTTTCAATATGAACCTTCCGTCCATATCCGTTTGATTGAACTAACGGAATTTAGGCAAAATTTTCAAATTTAAACGCACATATTCAAACACTTGTATCTCCCTCGTCGTAACTCTATTTCACCTCATTTTTGCGTCGTTGGATTCACCTCATTGCCTAGTTTTCATTCTACCCCTCATATGCTTTGTTCCACCTCTTTTTGTATGCCGTCGGAACTCTAAAAGTTGGCCAAAAATAAGATTTTTCTCTCTTTGGAAAAAAATTTCAAATTCAAACACACATGTTCAAGCACTTGTATCTCCTTCGTCATAATTCCATTTCCCCTCATTTTTGCGTCGTTTGATTCACCTCATGGCCTAGTTTTCATTTCACCCCTTATACGCCTTATTCCACCTCTTTTTGTGTGTTGTCGAAGCTTCGAAAGTTGGCCAAAAATAAGATTTTTCTCTCTCTCTCTCTCTCTCTCTCTCTTTTATTTTTATTTTTATTTTTTTTCGTTTATCTTATATCTCCATACTTCTTCCTTCCTCCTTCCTTTCCACAATTATTCTCTCTTTTTTCTCTTCCTTCATGGCCTTTCCCCCATTTTTATGTTTCTTTCCATTCTTGTAAGTTATATACATTCATACTCGACGACATCGCCACCGTCAGAGGTTCGGTAGCCACCACGAGCTTGGTGGAAGGGCCATGAAGGAAAATGAAAAAAGAGAATAATTGTGAAAAAAAAGTAGAAAGGAAGAAGCATGCAGATAGGGGAAAAAAAAAAGAGAGAAATTTTTTATTTTTGGCCAACTTTTGAAACTTTGACGGCATGCAAAAAGAGGTGAAATAAGGCGCATGAGAGGTGAAATGAAAACTAGGTTATGAGATGAATCCAACAATGCCAAAATGAGGCGAAATAGAGTTACGATGAGGGAGATACAAACGTTTGAACATATGGGTTTGAATATGAAAATTTTGTCCAAAGATAGAAAAATCTTATTTTTGGTCAACTTTCGGAGCTCCGACAGTATGCATAAAAAGGTGGAACAAGGTTATGAGGAGTGGAATGAAAACTAGGCCATGAGATGAATCCAATGACGCAAAAATGAGGCAACACGGACTTACGACGAAGGAGATACAAATGCTTGAACATGTGTTTAAATCTAAAAATTTTGTCCAAAGAAAGAAAAATCTTATTTTTGGCTAAATTTCGGAATTCCAATGGCACATAAAAAGAGGTGGAACAAGGCGTATGAGGAATGGAATGAAAACTAGGCAATGAGGTGAATCCAACGACACAAAAATGAGGCGAAACAGAGTTATAATGAGGGAGATACAAATGTTTGAACATGCGTGTTTGAATCTAAGAATTTTGCCCATATTCCGTTAGTTCAATCAAACGGATATGGACGGAGGGTTCTCATTGAAACACGTAAGAAATTCTAGGGTTAAGTTTGTCAAATTTGAAGCTTTCGGGTTTAAATTGAAAAACACGTGAAATCCTGAAGTTTTTTTTTTTTTTGTAATTTATCCAAAAAAATATTTGTGCATGTATTAGTAAAATCTAGGAAGCACAGATACAGATACAGGATACAGATACGATACGATACGGATATGGCGATACGACAAAATTTGAAAACCATGTTTCTTTCCATTCTTGTAAGTTATATACATTCATACTCGACGACATCGCCACCGTCAGAGGTTCGGTAGCCACCACGAGCTTAGTGGAAGGGCCATGAAGGAAAATGAAAAAAGAGAATAATTGTGAAAAAAAAGTAGAAAGGAAGAAGCATGCAGATGGGGGGGAAAAGAGAGAAATTTTTTTATTTTTGGCCAACTTTTGAAACTTTGACGGCATGCAAAAAGAGGTGGAATAAGGCGCATGAGGGGTGAAATGAAAACTAGGCCATGAGATGAATCCAACAATGCCAAAATGAGGCGAAATAGAGTTACGATGAGGGAGATACAAATGTTTGAACATGTAGGTTTGAATATGAAAATTTTGTCCAAAGATAGAAAAATCTTATTTTTGGCCAACTTTCGGAGCTCCGACAGTATGCATAAAAATGTGGAACAAGGTTATGAGGAGTGGAATGAAAACTAGGCCATGAGATGAATCCAATGACGCAAAAATGAGGCAACACGGACTTACGACGAAGGAGATACAAATGCTTGAACATGTGTTTAAATCTAAAAATTTTGCCCAAAGAAAGAAAAATCTTATTTTTGGCTAAATTTCAGAATTCCAATGGCATATAAAAAGAGGTGGAACAAGGCGTATGATGGATGAAATGAAAACTAGGCAATGATGTGAATCCAACGACACAAAAATGAGGCGAAACGGAGTTATAATGAGGGAGATACAAGTGTTTGAACATGTGTGTTTGAATCTAAGAATTTTGCCCAGATTCCATTAGTTCAATCAAACGGATCTGGAATGAGAGTTCTCATTGAAACACGGAAGAAATTCTAGGGTTTAGTTTGTCAAATTTAAAACTTTCGGGTTTAAATTAAAAAACACGCGAAATTCTGAAATTTTTTTTTGTAATTTATCCTAATAATATTACTCACTTTTTTGTACTAGTATAAGTCAAAATTTAAAATTTTATAATAATTTTTCAAAAGTTCAAATCCTGGATTCGTAAACCACAGTTTCACATGAACATCTCCACTACCAATTTGTCCAGCTCTCACTTTAGTGAATTCATTTGGAATTTAAGTGGGTTTTGCAACTATGATCTCTATCACTGTCAAGTTTTAACCAGATCTTTCACGATCGAACCTCACAACCACATCTCTGAGATCGATGCCCACAACCACATCCACTCAACCAGATTCACCACGATGGTACAAGGTTTGGCTAGACCTCTTCAACCTCCCATTTGTGGTTCTTTCTGATGTTATTTTTGCTAAACTTGAAAGTTATTTTGAGAATTGATTATTTTAGTTAAAATTTTTAATTTTTACAAAAAAAAATGTGTAAAAAATAAAAAGAATAATTAATTGTTTTGTAATGATTTTTTAACTTTTCAATTATTCTAGTCTATTGTCAAAACAAAACTTCGCTTGGCATTTGATTTT